TAAGATGGCCTTTGAGATCCATGAGAACCCCGGCATGGCCTCTGATGTTTCTTTCAGGTGTAGATCTATGGATTCCTATTTATGTAGGATCCTTGTGCTTTTGACCTAATCCTAATTAGCTCTGGGGCGTTGGCCGAGTAATTAATTTTCTCCTCTCTGAGGCAACCCAATTACCATAGAATGGATACAATAATCCCTTCATACCACTGAAGCCAAATAAGGTGAAAGAAGGAAAAGGCTTTTTGATCAAGTTTAGGGGCTGGGGGGAGCCTGGTTAATATAACCAAAATAATATCAGTCATTAAAATTGCTAGCATTTATATAACACTTTAAGGTTTGCAATGGGTTTTACAAATATCATCTTATTTTATCCTCATAACAACTCTGAGATGTAGGTGCTATTATTATCATCTTCATTTTTCAAATGAAGAAACTGAGTCAGAGAGAGGTTAATAACTTGCTTAGGCTCACATAGCTGTAACTCACATTTATATAGCACTTTTTACAAATATTTTCTCATTTGAGCCTCACAACAACCCTGGGAGGTGGGTGCTACTATTATCCCCATTTTAAAGATGAGGAAACTGAGATAAACTGAGGTTGAGTGGTTTGCCCGGGGTCACACAGCTCGTAGGTGTCTGAGGCTGGATTTGAACTCTGGTCTTCTTGACCCCAGGCTCAGCACTCTATGGTTCCTCCTAGCTACCTGTAGTTGACTGGACACTAGATGCCTAACTATCTCTAACGTCCTGCCCAATCATCACCACAACTCTGCCTCTCTCTGACACTCCTTCAGTTAACAGAGGCTTGCAGCCTCAGCCACATCACTGCCTCCCTCTCATTCCCTAGACACCAAGAAGGACTTAAAGCTCATTACTAGTCACCTACTGGACATGTTGGTCAACAAGAAAGTATCTGGCCAGGGCAGGGACCAGGCCCTGAATCTACTCAACAAAAACATCCCCAGGAAGGACCTGGCCATTCATGACAATTCCCAGTCCATCTACGTGATAGAGAACGGTGAGCAGCTGGGCCTGGGAGGTGGCTGGGTAGGGGGTGGAAGGGTACTCCAGGATTTGGTCATAAATCACTGCCATTCATTCGCTTGGGGGCGCACTCTATCTGCTCCTCTCTACTAATCACTGGAGAGGTAGATCCCTGTGGTGTGTAAAGGGTGCAAGGTTATTTCAATACTTCAAGGGTTTGTTCCTTCCACCAATGAATGAATCAGTGAATGAAGATATGAATAAATTAACATATGTATGAGTATATGTATGAACAAACGTATGAGTAAATACTGTATGTGAATTAATGAATGCATGTATATATGAATAATAGATGAATTAATGAATATACATTGAATGAATTATGAATGAATAAATGATATGCAAACAAATGTATGAATGAATATGTACATGAATATATGTCTGAACAAATACCTGAGTGAATACTGTATATGAATTAATGAATGTATGTATGAATGACTAAATGGATATATGAATGAATTATTAGTGAATAAATGCATGAATGAACGAATATGGAAATAAATGTTTGAATGAACATATGCATGACATATGGATTAATAAATATACATGTGAACATATGTATGAATAAATGTATGAGTAAATATTATATATGAATTAATGAATGGATGTACATATGAATGGATATATGAATTAATGAATGAATATACCTTTTGAATGAATGAATTATGAATGAATACATGAATTTATGAATTAATGAATGTATAAATAAATGTATGAAGAAATATACTCATGAACATATGAACTAATGAATATATGAGTGAGTGTACATATGAATGAATTGTGAATGAATAAATGAAAAGATATTTATTAAGTACTTACTATACATCAAGAACTGTGTTAAGTGCTAGGGACACAAACAGAAGGAAAGCAAGATGGCCTCTGTTCCCAAGGAGCTCATAGTCCAATTGGAGGACAGTTCCATTACAGGAAGGATGGATGGCCTGGAAGAGCTATGGGAGAGCAAATGGAATGGCCCTGGGGTCCTTCAGAGGCATCAGAAGAACCCAGATGACAATCCCTTGGGGTCTGGAGGGTGTAGAGGGCTCTGGGTTTGATCTGGTAGGTGATTGGGAGGTACTAGTGACTCTCAAGCAGGTCAGTCAGTCAAGCAACAAGCATTTATTAAGCGCCTACCAAGTACCAGACATTGTGAGGGATAGACTGAAAATGACATTGAAAGAACATTATTCTTTTGATCCAGTGCAGCAAGGGATAGGAAGGCAAGAGGCATGGGTTCCGGGGATTCAGATGTTCAGTGATGAGCCCTTAGAGGAGAGAAGCTGACTTCCATGGGGATGGACCTCAGGTAGGCTTAGGGGAGCTCATTCCCTCCTTTCATTGCTCTCTCCACCAGGCCTGAGAAAGATCCTAAAGGTGGTGGGGCAGGTACCAGAGCAGCCCTCCTGCCTGCCACTGACCGACAACACCCGCATGCTGGCCTCCATCCTTCTCAATAAGCTCTATGATGATCTCCGCTGTGATCCTGAGAGAGACCACTTCCGCAAGATCTGTGAAGAGTACATCACGTGAGCTTGCTTGCCCATGAATGGGTTGAGGTGGCAGTGCCTGTGATTGGGAAACAGCAACAGGAACTCCAAGCATTTGGGGAAAAAACTCAGGGGAGAAAAATCCCAGTGCAGGGTGCTGGATGCACAGGGCCCTAACTGAAGTGGAATAGCAAGGTGGGGGGGGGGGAAGACGATTGGAGTCAAGTTCATATTTTATGGATAAGGAGATTGAGGTAAAGTGATCTGCTCAGGGATACACAGCTATTCAGTGGCAGACATTTTTTTAAAAGTCCACTTTTTGTTTTTGTATTACATTTACTTCTTTCTAAAAAAGTAAATTTGTCTTAATAGCTTTAGTTTTTACATTCTCTAAATTTCCCCTGTATCTCTCCCTCTTCCTCCACTTGGGGAGCCGTTCCATAGAATACATTTTTTTTTTAAGATAAAAAAAAGAAGAGGAAGTGGAGGGGGAGGTTTGGGGGGAGGTCAGCAAAGCAAACCAATACTTTGAAAAAAATCTAGCAATATATGCAACGCTCTGCAAAAAAGCATCACTCTCATTTCTCAGTGTCTCCATTTCCCCTTTTCTCCCCAGCAACAAAGATTAAAAGAGAGAGAGGAAAAAACCAGTTCAGCAAAACTAACCCCCACATCAGCCATAGTCCCCATGAAATCACGCGGCTCACTGGAGCTGTGTTTCCTGGACAGGTTGTTCTACCTAGATAGATCTCACTTTCCTTATCCCTATTCTCCACCTCTGCAAGGTAGGGAGGGAGGCAGATTGTCCTTTACTCTTCTTCAGCACCAAGGCTGCCCATTCATTGGCCAGGCTGGCCACAGAACTGGGGGCCTTGTTGGCATCATTGTGTGGCTCATCTCCCTGGCCTCCCCTTACGAAACTCTCTTCTTCTTCATTGAATGAACATTTTAAAATATTTTCATTAATACTATACTCTTTATATTGAATGAACATTTTAAAAATATCTAATTAATAATACTTTCTTTTTAATTGAACAAATATTTAAAATGTTTATTAATATTACACTCTTCATTGAATGAACATTTTAAAATACTTTTATTAATACTACTCTCTTTTTTGATTGAATGAACATTTAAAAATATTTTTATTAGTACTGTACTCTTTTTATTGAGTGAACATTTAAAAACATTTGTATTAATACTACTCTTTTTAATTGAATGAATGTTTAAAATATTTTATTAATACTATAGTTATTTTTTATTGAATGAACATTTTAAAATATTTTTATTAATATGACAGTCTTTATTGAATAAATATTTTTAAGTATTTTCATAGATGTCTCTTTTTTACTTTATATTCATTCTTTTTAGGTGATTAATAAATGTTTATTGGTTGATTATATTTACATACCATAATTTGTTTAGCTATTTCCAACCAATTCCTGTCCATTATTTTTTTTTTGCCAATTTAAAAGGTTTTTTTTTAAACATTAGTTTTTTAAATTTTTGATTTACAAATTCTCTATCTCCCTCCAGCCTCTCCCCCAATCATTGAGAAGGCAAACAATGTGATACTCATTATACATGTGGAGTCATGAAAAACGTATTTCCATATCAGCTATATTTTTTTTTAAAAGCCTTGGGAAAATTTTGAAAGTGACAAAAAAATGCTTCAGTCTGCACTCAGGGTTCATCAGTTCTCTCTTGAGAATAGAAAGTATTTTTCATCATAAGTCCTTACTGAATTAAGTTCATAAAAGTGTTTGGATTGTCATACAGTTCAAAGAAGGCTGGAGTGTCAGAGCTGGGAAAAACCTTCAAAATCAACTAGTTCAACCCTCTCATTTTACAGAGGAGGAAACTGAGGCCCAGAGAGAGGAGATAGAAGTAGGACCCAGGCTCCCATTCCACTGACCTTTTCATCATGCTGCACTCTCTCTCTAATTTCCAGTGAATCTTTTTCTGTGTCAATCTGACCCAAGTTCCCAAATTATTCCGGTTTGGGGCATTGATCTAAGGTGAGGGTTCTTAATCTGACCTCTGTGAACTTTTTTTTAAAAATTTTGATCACTGTACTTCAACAGCATTGTAAACCTCTGTAATCCTCTGTATTTTGTTTTATGCATTTAAATATGATTCTGAGAAGGGATCCATAGACTGATGAGGGGGTCTACAAAGAAAGAGCCCCTGATTAAAGAGCTGGTGGAGAATGAGGGTTACCCCTAAGCTTCCCCAGAGGAGTCCAACTAGGGCCCCTTTATAATGGACCCCCTTTTTTGGTTTCTAGGGGCAAGTTTGATCCCCAGAACATGGACAAGAATGTGCATGCCATCCAGACGGTGTCAGGGGTACTCCAGGGCCCCTTTGACCTGGGCAACCAGTTGCTGGGGATGAAGGGTGTGATGGAGATGATGGTGGCCCTGTGTGGTTCTGATCGGGAGCAGGACCAGCTGGTGGCAGTAGAAGCCCTGATTCATGCTTCCACCAAACTCAGCCGAGCTACCTTCATCATCACCAATGGTGTGACCTTGCTCAAAGACATCTACAAGACAACCAAAAATGAGAGGATTAAGATCCGTGCTCTGGTGGTGAGGCAAAGACCCCTCTTCCAACCCCTACCCCCGAATTCTCCTTCAGCTCCTTCCTGAAACAAAAATTTATCAAGTGCTTACTATGTGTCAGGCACATGCTAAGCACTTTACAAATATTATCTCATTTGATTTTCACAACAACCTGGGGAGGTATGTGCTGTTATGATCTTCATTTTCAGTAGAGGAAACTGAGGCAAACAGAAATTAAATGATGTGTCCTGGAAAGTTCCCTTCCAGTTCTAACTCTGTGATTCAACCATCATTAACCGTCCTTCCCCTCCCCAAACCCAACAAGCTTCATCGATGCCCAGGTCCATGCTGTCCCATCTTCCCTCTAGGGTCTCTGTAAACTTGGCTCTGCAGGGGGCACCGACTATGGCCTCAGACAGTTTGCTGAAGGTTCCACGGAGAAGCTTGCCAAACAGTGTCGGAAGTAAGAGGGATGGATGGGGGGTCCTGGATCCCTTCTTGGGGTGGGCTTTTCTCTGTTGGTCTTACTCCTTGTGCTTCTTGGCAGAGGCTCAGTAAAGTTGTATGGATCTGATACTGTGGGCAATAGGGAGCCATGGCAGATTTTTTGAACAGAGGAGAGGTGTGATGAAATGAGTGGGCTTTTTAAAAAATTTGTTTTAAATTTAACAAAAAGGAAATCTACTTAATGGAAACATGATAAGGCTATTCAGCAATGTCCTTAGAATAGAGGCCTATGCCCTTTCCAGGACTCTTCTGATGGCCCCTCAGTCCTACAGACTGTCCTCACTTAGGTCTTCTCCTGTACTAAATTGCCCCTTCCTGTTCCCAGGTGGCTGTGTAATGTAAACATAGACAGGAGGACCAGGCGCTGGGCTGTGGAGGGTCTGGCCTACCTCACGCTGGATGCGGATGTGAAAGATGACTTCGTCCAGGACATCCCTGCCTTACAGGCCATGTTCGAGCTAGCTAAGGCATGCTTGGCCTTGACATCACAGTCCCTTGACCCCGAGAACATCAATTCAATTCAGTCCCTCCCTGTTCCAACTCTAGGACCAAAGGAGCTCCAGAAAACAGGCTCCTCATTCAGTGGATAAGGACAAAGCCTATGTTTGAGAGTCGAGCTAATGGGACTCACATCCCAGCTTTGCTTCTGACTTGCTATGTGGTCATGGCTGGGTCATTTCCTATCTCTGAGCCTTAGTGATGTCATCTATAAAAAGGGTATAGTCTTTGCCTCTGCCCTGGCTCTCTTTAAGAGAGTGGGGCTCAAACTAAATAGAAGACAGGAGTAACATAATGTACAATGATCAGGGAATCCCAGAGTGTTGTTTTATTGTTTCCCAGGGCTTCGGGGTCCTCAATCTATAGGAGCCATGGTTCCACTTGGAGATAATATTCAGGTAGCAGAGAGGGCATTCAGTTGAGTCAGGGGAACAGAGAAGATGGCTCCCTGGTCTAGAAGGGACCATTTAGAACCCCTCTTCTCTATCAAATATCAGTTCCTCCCTCCCTCCCCCAACCTCACCCTCACACCTACCCTGGGTCTCTCCCAATAAAAGGATAAGGGAAGAGGGCAGTGAACATGCTAACTTGATGAGAGAGCAAGTTCGATGCAGGGGACAGAGTGTAGGCATGGAGTCTTGAAGACTTGCATCCAAATCCTGTCTCAGACACTTACTGTCTGGGCAAGTCAGCTTCAGTCTTCTCATCTATGAAATGGGGATAATGATAGCCTCCACCTTATAGGGGTATCTTGAGGATCAAATGAAGTAATATATGAAAAGTACTATGTAAATCTTAAATCAACATGTAAATGTTACCCACTAGTATTATAAACTTGATGGAGGGAGAGAGGTAGGAGGCAAAGGAAATTGGGAAAGAATGTGAGCAAAGGAGATTGAGAGAGAATATGGAAGAGGGGATTAGTTTAGGATTATTTAGTTCTTTTTCTGTACTCTCAATCCCTAGTCCCCAGCCCAAGCACCACAGCAGTTATTGGAGGCTTTGAATAAATACTCTCAAGAGTACCATTAAGGGTACTCTTAAGAAGCCTTCTATCATGTTAATTTTTTAAAATTAGTATCTTTTATTTTTATATTACTTTCATTATCAAATATACCTTCCTTCCCTACCTGGCCAATGAAGAATAGGAAAAAGGTAAAAAATCAACCTGGAAAAACCAAGTGCTCCATCAGTACAGTCTGATAATTTATGCAGTCCTCCACACCCAGAGTCCCCCACCATTTCCTAGAAGGGAAAGAGAGACATTTTTTTCAACTCTTCTCCAAGGCCAGGCTTCTTGGTCATTATAATTACTCAGCATCCCATCATTAACCACATTTTAAAAGACAGCAGCTATGTCCTTCAGCTAGGTGTCTCAGTGGATAGAGTGCCACGAGAGAGTCAGACACTTTCAAGTGACCCTGGGCAAGTTACTCAAAAGTATTTGCCTCAGTTCCTCATCTATCAAATGAGCTGGAGAAGGAAATGGTAAACCACTCCATTATCTTTGCCAAGAAAACCCCAAATGGGGTCACGAAGAGTTGGATATGACTGAACAACAATCACATGTCCTGGGCAGTATCCTGAGTTTTACCATGTTCTCATGTTGGTCTTATAACTGGTTCCACTTCTGACCTTCCCTGATTTCCTCCCCAGACCAATGACAAGACCATCCTGTACTCTGTGGCTACCACCCTGGTGAACTGCACCAATAGTTACGATGTGAAGGAGGTCATCCCCGAGCTGGTGCAGCTGGCTAAGTTCTCCAAGCAGCATGTGCCTGAGGAACATCCCAAGGTGGGGACCTGGGGCAGGCCAGAGTGTCCTCTCAGCTCCTTGATCTTTATGTCTTTATGCCTCTTGAGAGCCTGCTTGCTGCATCAGATGACGAGCCAGCCTTCAAGTCAGAAAAGACCTGGATTCCAGACCCTCTCACAGTACATATTGTCTGTGTGATTCTGGGCAAGTCGGTTACTTATCCATAAATGAGAATGAGATTGCCTCTAAGGTCACCACTAGCTGTCAATCTCTGATCCTCTGTAGCTTTTGGAGGAAAGAATGCCTCATAAATGACACACATGCCCCCGCTAGGCCTTCTGTCGTTTCACACTAGGGGGTGATTGATCTATGCACAGTCTATTGTCAGATGTTCTACAAAAACAGTAGATTCTACTGGTCCTACGGATTCTAGCTATTGCTCAATCAGCTCTCAGTTATCCCCTTGTGTGGGAATCTGGGGTATCAGAGTAAGTTTGGGGGGTAGGAGCCAGAACCATGGGCTTGAAATGGGACACATACTAGGTGCATAAACTGACACATACTAGGCACCCTTTGAGCCTCAGTTTCCTTCTCTGTAAAATGGGGGTAATAATAATAACTCACACATATAATGCTTTAATTGGTTTCCTCATAGTAACCCTGAGACCTATCATCACCTTCATTTTTCAGATGAAGATACTGCCCCTCAAAGAGACTCATAAGAAAATAGATTTAGAGCTGGAAGCGATTTCTGAAGCAATTATGCCTAATCCTCTCATTTTACAGATGAGGAAACTGAGACCCAGAGAGAGTAAACGAATTGCTCTAGGTCTCACAATCAGAGACAGGATTTGAACTCAGATCCCAAATCCATCTCTCTTTCCATCATACCACATTGCCTTCCAAACACGTTGGAACAAACACGTTCGGGGTGTTTGAAATATGAAAGTATTACCCACCTCCTAGGGATATGGTAAGGAAAGGAAAGCTCTTTGCAAACTGTAGAGCACTATGTAAATGTGAGCTCATAGGATCTGTTCCAGGTCTGGGATTTTTAACTGTAGGGTTGATTTTCTGGGACAACACAGTCATGGTATGAGCTACAAATGCAAGCTCCTTTTCACCCCAGCTAATGGAACAGAGTTTCTTCAAAGCATCCCAAGGTCAAATCAAATATAAAGAAAGATGGCAGTGTTTTAGATAATTTGAGTCTTTGTGCATGGATAATTTTTTAATATTAATTTATTTTGAATTATCAACAATCACTCCCATAAGCTTTTGAATTCTAAAATTTTCTCCCCCTCTCTCCCCACCTCCCTCCCCAAGATAGCACACAATCTGATATAGGCTCTACATATACATTCCTATTAAACATATTTTCACATTAGTGATGTTGTAAGTAAGAATTAGAACCAATAGGAGGAACCACCAGAAGGAGGAAACAAAACACAACAGAAGAGAAAAAAATAGCAAACGGTATGTTTCGATCTGCATTCAAACTCCATAGCATTTTCCACCATGAGGCCTAGGGCGATGTCTTAGATCCTTGTATTGCTGAGAAGGGTTAAGTCTATCAATATTAGTCATTGCACAACGTGGCTGTTACTGTGTACAACGTTCTGCTCATTTCACTCAGCATCAGACCATACAAGTCTTTCCCGGCTTTTCTGAAGTTTGCCTGCTTGTCATTTCTTATAGCACAACAGTATTTCTTTACATTCATTTACCGCAACTTGTTCAGCCGTTCCCCAGTTGATGGGCATCCTCTCAATTTCCAATTCTTTGCCACCACAAAAAGACTTTGTGCATGGACAATTAAAATGAATGAGATTTCTCTCCCATCATCAAAGACCCAGAGCCTGGTTTCTAGTTATACTAGGGACAGAGGAGGGGGAAGAAGAAGAGAGGATGTGTAGAGCTGAGGGGATCTACGGGAAAAGTCTGAATCGTAGGTGAACAATAGAACGTGAGAGCTAAACCAGACACTAGAGATCACCAAATCTATTCCCCTCATTTTACTGAGGAAATTCAGGCCATTTCTAAGACCATTCCACCATTTCTAAGGCTGAGAGAAAGTAGTTTGGAGCTTGGAGGCAGGATCCTGTTTTCTGAACCCAGTAATCTCCTAAGCACCTTCCCCTGCTCTCTTTCTTCCCAGGACAAGAAGGACTTTGTGGAAAAGCGGGTGAAGCGGCTGCTGAAGGCTGGGGTAACCTCCACATTAGCCTGTATGGTAAAAGCTGACAGCGCCATCCTTACGGACCAGACCAAAGAATTATTGGCCAGGTACTAGGACGAGGGGAGTGGGAAAAGGGCTGAGGGAGGTCAGAGGATAAGGGTGATGAAGGGTAAAGTCTCTACATGGCGGATGAGGTCACTATAGATTCTACCCACTTCCTTCCTCTTAAAGGGAGAAACTAGGGAAAGGAGGGAAGCAATTATTTTCTTTCCTCTCCTCCTTCTGAGCCATATGCCACCCTCTTTTAGACTAAACAACAGTGAAAAAATCCCAAGCATTTATTCAGGATTGACTTGGCATTGTGCTAAATGCTGGGGTTACAAAGACAGGGAAAAAAAAAACCCAAAACAAAACAGTCCCTGCCCTTAAGGAGCTTACATTCTAATAGGGAAGAAAACTGGTGATACAGCATGAGATTCTCTAGGGACTGAGTCTAATTGCCTCAATACCAGATCCGCTCTCTTGCTTCTATTCCCTGTTGTTCTTCACTATCCCTCCTTTGCTGTCTTGATCTTGCTCGTGTTCAGATTCTCGCAACCCTAAAGCCCCAAAGGTCGGAAGAGGAGCCTGGGTGAGGGGGTGTGTTAGTGTTTAGGGACCACTCCTTTAACCGCCACTCCTAACAGGGTATTCCTGGCGCTGTGTGACAATGCAAAGGATCGGGGCACCATTGTGGCTCAAGGTGGTGGCAAGGTAATGTTGGGGGATGGGGTGAGGAGAACTTGTGGGGAGTATAACTGGGGGAGAACATTGAGCAGGTGCTCTGATAGGGAGTGTGTAGAACAGTCTCTTGGTATGTCCTGGTAGCACCTACTGGTCAGTGTACATGCATAGGGTAGACCTCTAACCTCATCTTCCAGGAATTTACTCAACTCTTCAATTATCTGTGCCAATAGAGGGGAACAGTGAAACAGTAACACAAAATATTCTATTTTTTGGACTAATGGAAAGCATGGTCTGATACTTACAGGTGAGACACCACCATTTGCTAGCACTATAATCTTGGGTGAGATATTTCTTTTTTTTTTAACCTGTTTCCTCATATGTAAAACGAGGATAGTACTTGCACCGCCTCCCTCACTGGGTTATTAAAAGGAACTGCTTTGCAAACTTCTAAGTGTGATAGAATGCATTGTTATTATTATCTGTCTTTCATAAAGAGGCAGAGTGGTACAGTGGATAGAGAGTTGCTCTTAGAGTCAAGAAGACCTGAGTGCAAGTCCTACCTCTGAAACATATTGGTTGTATGACCTTGACCAAGTCACTTAATTTCTCAAGGCCCAAGGCAAATCCCTAAGACTGTAAGTTGAAGAAAGGTACTCATCTGTATTGGTAGAGAGAGTTTCTTCATTGGGATTTGTCAATACCAATGAAATTATAGATTTTAGACTTTAGTAGTATAAGCTTGATTGATAGATTTACCTTACCTAAGCACTAGAGGCAGCTAGGTAGCTCAGTGGATAGAGCTCTAAGACTGGAGTCAGGGAGAACTGAGTTCAAATGTAACCTCAGATACTTGCTAGCTGTGTGACCCTGGGCAAATCACTTAGCCTCTGCCTCAGTTTCCTCACCTGTAACATGGGGATAATAATACCACCTACCTCTCAGGGTTGTTGTGAAGATCAGATGAAATAATGATTGTAAAGCTCTTGATATGTAGTAGGCACTATACAAATGTTGGCTGTTATTATAAAGTCAGGGCAGATGACCCTGGAAGTTTGCTTGGATGCCTAAGGTAAGGCAGACTGGAATTAGTTATTTTCCATGCATATTCAAGTGTTATATATAGGATGCCCAAATCTTTTTGAGCTTTGGCAAATAGACAGACAGATAGACAGAGGGAATGAGCACAGAACTGGAAAGAACCTTGGAGATCATCTAGTTCAACCCTCTCATTTTACAGATGGGGAAACTGAGGACTGGAAAGGGTGATCGACTTGCCTAAGGTTACATAGATAATAAGTAGCAAAGTCAGGATTTGAACCCAGGTGTTCTAGATTCCAAATCCAATATTCTTTGCATGTCACCACAGCGGGGAAAGGGTATCTACAGTGCTGACTGTCACTCTGTCCTTTAGGCTTTGATACCACTGGCTCTTGAAGGCACTGATGTGGGCAAGGTGAAGGCTGCCCATGCTTTGGCAAAGATTGCAGCTGTCTCCAACCCTGACATTGCTTTTCCTGGGGAAAGGGTGGGTATGATCTATGGTGGGGTTGGGGGAGGATAGGGAATTGGAGGAGCCTATTCTACCTCAAATGTCTTCGCATTCTGGGATTCTGTCTTTTCTCCCTTCCCACTAACTCTCAGCTCTCTCTCTCTCTCTCTCTCTCTCTCTCTCTCTCTCTCTCTCTCTCTCTCTCTCTCTCTCTCTCTCTCTCTCCCTCTCTCTCTCTCTCTCTCTCTCTCTGTCTCTCTCTCTCCCTCTCTCTCTCTCTCTCTCTCTCTCTCTCTCTCTCTCTCTCTCTCTCTCTCTGTTTCTCTCTCGTGTCTCCTTCCCACCCTCACCCCTGATTTTCTGTCTCTGTCTTACAATGCAACATTTTGAATATGTATTTTAAAAAACTAAGTTGGTTCATGAGAGTTCCTTATTTATATAATAGGCTCCTTCCTTCCTTCTTTTGAAAAAAAACCTAATGATTTTTTTTCACATTGCCACCATTTCCCATTTACTCACTGTACTCCCAACAGAACCATCCCCTACAACAAAGAGATGAAGCAAAATAAATGAAGATGTTGGCCATGGTGCCTTGTTATGCACCTGTATATGCACCTGACAAAAGTCAGGAGGCATGCTTCACTATCAGTCCTCTGAAGTCACAACTTGTCCCATAATTGATCCGAGCTCTAGGTTCCTTCAGTGTTGTTTTCCTTTACATTCATTTAGTCACCATGTAAATTATTCTCCTGGTTTTGCTTACTTTGTTCTGTATCATTTCATACAAATCTTCCTAGAATTCCTTGCCTCTGGCAACAACCCCAACGTACAATCTCACTTCTGGGTTTGGTACCCAGGATGCCTGCTACCTTAGGGTTACCTTGTGGGTGGCTACTCCTCTTACTATAGCTGACAGGCCCTCACCAGTATTTTTCCCCATTAAAAATCAGCCAGTAGACACAATGAACTCTTAGCAAAGGCGTGTACTCAGATGGCATAGCAAGGATAGTAGTTACAAAATGTTCCTCTTATAAGTTTGGGTCATGCTACCCCACAAATATGCACAGTATCCATAGGAAAAATGGGCTTAGACTTGGAATATAATGCTAGTGAGGCACATGTGTAGAAATACACTCATAGCAAAGGCAACTCACAGCTCTTAGCACTGAAGGACCCGGCGCTCCTCCCTCTCTTTGTAGGGTCCTCTGCCAGCTTCCCACGGATACAGTGTCTTTCCTTGGTGGGTTGCTCAGCTGGGTTCCCAGGGTCTGGTCTCCACATTCCGACTCTTCTCTCTCGGGGGTCTTTGTTCTTGAAAGTGCTTCATCCCTTGAATTGACTGTCTCTTTGTAATTATGTCCATCTGGAATACATGTCTCTGCTCTCTGATGGATGTATGTCTTCTGTGGTCCAGTAGCTTCCCTTCAAAGTTGATTTGGAGAAGTAGTGAGAGGAGAAAGAAATCCCCTCCTCTCTCCCTGTAGGGATTTCCTCCCCAGGCAACACCCAGCTGGCAATCTCCCCTACTCTCAAACTGCTGAAATTTGTTTAGGGTTTAGCTATTTAAAGTTGTGGGCGTGTCGCTAATTTGCTTAGCCAATTTAAATATTCCCTACTTGACTAAATCAGAGAGGTGTTTGTGCTTCATAAAGGGATCACAGGATGTTACACTTCACAAACACATGAAAACTTCATCATATGTGACTACAGTCTATGACTGTGTCACCTGAGCTGGTATGCATGTGTGTGTGTGTGTGTGTGTGTGTGTGTGTGTGTGTGTGTATGAACACTCCCTTACTTTACATTCATATTTTTGTCATTTCTTAGGATTTGCTAACATTCCATTACACTTACATACCATAATTTTGGGCCATTTTTTATCTGGCTACTTTCTTTCCATTTGTTTGCCACTTCAAAAACTAGCCGCTGTAAATTTTTTTTTGTATATGTCAACCTTTACCGCATGAATTCTTCTTAATTCTTTACAGTTACCCTATGCCATCTCCTGCTTTTCTCCGTTTCCTGCAGGTGTATGAGGTAGTGCGTCCATTGGTACGACTCCTGGACACACAGCGGGATGGACTCCAGAACTACGAAGCCCTCCTGGGTCTGACTAATCTGTCAGGCAGGAGTGAAAAACTCCGGTGAGTAGAGTAGAAGGGAGGAGGGGAAGCAGAGTTTGCAGTCAAGGAGAGTCAATTCCTTCTTACCTGTCTTGATCGGGAACCATTGCTTCAAATCTATACCCAGACTCTACTAAAGGTACCACTCTCCCACTGATGATAGATTTGAAAACAACACACGGAAATTGTAGCGGCAGGAAGGATTTAGATTAGAATTAAGAAAGACTATCCTGATTGTGAAGCCTGGGATGCCAAAGGAGATTGGGGAGTCCCCTTTCTCTAAGGTTTGTACAGAAAGCTAGTAGGGTGGTTGGGAGAAGTTAAGGTAGAGACCTCCTGGGAGATAGCGGATGGACTTAATAAGTGTCTCTCTTGACCAATCAGGCAGAAGATAATTAAGGAGAAAGCTCTGCCAGACATTGAGAATTACATGTTTGAGAACCATGACCAGCTTCGGCAGGCAGCCACCGAGTGCATGTGCAACATGGTGGTCAACAAAGAGGTATGGGGGCTGAGGGTGCAGGGGTGGGACTGAGGCCAACATTTCAAGGGACAAGGCAGAGATGGGTAAGTGAAGAAACCTCTCCTTTTCTTCAAGAAGATGGAGATAATCATCCCCATTGAAATATCACCTCCTTTTATCCCTGCCCCAGGAAATTCCCAGTCGAGTTAGGGAAGATGCGGTATACTCATAGAAGCTCTTGGGACTTGGGACAGAATCACATGATGGCATATAGTTGGCCATGGAAATCAATATTTTCTCTATGAAAGGCCTTAAGCTAGGGTTCTAGAAGGCCGTGCCAGAAGAATGTAAATGCTGGCAGATGAAAGGCTTTGAGATGATTGGTCATGTTAGAGTATCAGCCTGGCTCATCAAAGAGGCTGTATTAATATGATTTAGTGAGGTTCGGATTCGCTCCTATAAATGACACTCTCCAATGCACCAGAAAATAATAGGAAATAGATAATTTATTTAGAAGAAGCAAGGCACAGATAGTTTGAAATTGCATAGAAAGCATATAACAATAAGAACAATCAATAATATAGCACCGATCAAGAGAGTCGGTAATGGAAGAGAATACATCACCAATTCAAGGGAACCTCCAAAGTCAATCAACGGCTGGGAGCCCCGTTGCAGCCAGTACAAACTTGAATTGTGTAAAGATTTTCCCGGGCGAAGCGTCCTTCCCGCGGGTGAGGCTCAGCGGGCTTACAGGACACAGTGTTTTTATATTGTTCTAAACAAAGAAGGCTTGGGGCCAAGAAGCCCTTTTTGATGCATGCGCTATTCATGGTTTGTCCAATACACATCTGACCTTAGCCACGCTCCCATCCGCCTGAGGCTTGGTATTTTGTTTTTTAATAACATCACGTCTCACAAGGAGAGGAGCCAACCCTCCATGTCAACGTGACCTAGGAATGGCTAGTTCCTGGAATGCTAGGCCAAGAACACTCAGGAGATATGGAACGGTCATGACCGAGATTTGAACTGAACCTATTTATTTGAGTGATCTTATTAATTTAAAGGGGAATTTCCAATTTCCATTTCAGAGGCTCATTGCTGGAAGAGGTTGGCTATGGAGTTTTTGGGCTATAGCTACTCAGCACGGTGCCTGGCACATAGTCAGTGCCTTCCCTCTGTAGATTATTTTCTATTTATCCTGTATATAGCTTGTCTGTACATAATTGTTTGTATGTTGTCCCATTCATTAGACTGGAATCCTCAAGGGCAGGGGCTGTCTTTTGCCTTTCTTTGTATTCTCAGTGCCTAGCACAGAGCCTAGCACATAGTAGGTGCTTAATAAATATTTATGGATGAACTGACTAATAAATGCTTGTTGACTGTTGACCATTGCCTGACTGACTTCACGATAGTCATCCACTAAGGTATAGAAGCGAAGGAATTGGTATGGTTGGGGGCGATACCCATATCAATGAAATATTTTTTTTCAAGAAACAAGGGACCAGAATCTGAATTAACTCACATTGGAATAAGAGATTTAAAGCTGGAGGGACCTAACAATCAACTAATCAATAAACATTTATTAAGTACTTACTATGTGCCAGGCACTGTGCTAAGCCCTGGGAATACAAAAAGAGTCAAAATGATAATAATAACTAACATTTATTTAGCACTTACTGTGTGCCAGGCACTGAGTTAAGAGCTTTACAATTATTATTTCATTTGATCCTTACAACATCCCTGGGAGATATGTGCTATTATTATCTCCATTTTTCAGATGAGGAAACTGATGCAAACAGGGGGCATGACTTGCCCAGACAGACACTAGTAAGTGTCTGAGAACAACTTTGCCCTCAAGGAGCTTACAATCAAATGGAATGATTATGATAGGTATCACAGAGAGGGAAGAGCATTGGATTTGGAGTCAAAGGACCTGCGTTCAAATCTTGGCTCTGCCACTCGTTACTTAAGTGACCTTGGGGGAGTAACAACCTCTTTGTACTTCCTTCCATTTCTTCAACTGTGATAACAATCATTAGCATTATTTAGTTGTTTAAGTGATTTACAAACACCACCTCATTTTATCCTTATAACGACCCTAAGGACATAGATGGCATTATTTTTCCTATTTTACAGAAGTGACCCATAGCCATGCAGTGAGTGCCTAAAGTAAGATTCAAACTCAGGTCTCCCTGAGGACAAGCCTACTGCTCTGTCCACTGTGTGTCCTAGATGTTTCTAACTGTAAAATGGAGTAGGAAATTGGGCAGGGCAGATTAAAGGTTTTCAAAGGCCCTTTGCATCTATGATCTTTCTTTACACTTTCATTTTACAGAGGAGGAAACAGACCTTGAGAGGGGAAGACATTTGCCCGAAGTCAAACGGCTAGTAATAGCAAACCATTGGTTAATTCAAAGGTTTAATCCCAGGCTGGATTCCCCCTTACCGCCTAGCTAACTTCTGCTCCTTTCTCCCAAGTCCCATCACCCTCTGGGATTGATTTCAAAATTATTTCCATATTCTCCAAGGCCTATCATCCATAGGAAGACAAGTGTGCTGGGATGAAACTAATTTCAAAGGCAAATAGAAATCGGAATTTTGGATTATTGGGGATTCTGTGTTTCTGCTCCCCTGAATTATTATGGATAACCAAGAGGAGGTATTTATTATTGGGGATACATGTTTAAACTAGGGGAGCTTGTGCTTTACTTTCCAAATAATCAGGAAAGGCCTTCTGAAAGAGGTGGCATTTAGGGGAGCTGCTTGAATGAAGAGAGCCTAGACGAGGGGAAGGGACTCCTATCACAGCCTTCCCTCCTTTTCTTTAGTACTTTATGGGTTGTTGTTGTTTTTCACATTTGTGTTACTTCTCACTGCTCACTCCTCCTAAGAGAACCTTAATTTGTTGTTAGATTTTTTTTTTTGGATTTATTAAATGCCTTACACTTAAATGTTGCGACTCATTTACCAAAGTATAATGTTATTGTTTAATAAATAACATAGGTATGGGGAGAAACTTAATTTGTGACAAATAAGGACAGTTAAGCAAAACAATACAGTATTGACCACTACTGGTCATGATAGTATATGCCTCATTCTGCAGCTATAGTCCACCACCTCTTTTCTGAGAAGAGGAAGGTATGTTTCCTTTTTAGTCCTCTGGAGTTAAGATTAGCATCCGTCTGAGTTCTGTCTTTTACTGGTGTTTTCCTTCTCATTACTGTAGCATTTATAGATATTGTTCTGTTGCTCTTGTCTGTTTTCTCAGTATCATTTCAAACAAGCCTTCCTAGGTTTCTCTGAATTCCTCATATTTGCCATGCCTTATGGCATAATCCTATTTCATCACATTCATGTACAACAATTTATTCAGCCATTTCCCAATTAATGGGCACCCATTTTGTTTCCAGTTTTTGGCTACCACAAAATATCCAGCAATGGCAGAATTAGGAAAAGACTAGGGGAAAGAGAATGAAAGGGAAGACAATGAGCATTTATTAAGCACCTACTATGTGCTAAGCACTTTTTGCAGTATTATCTCAATTGATCCTCATCACAACTCTGTGACGCGAGTGCTATTATTATCCCCATTTTACAGTTGAGGAAACCAAGGCAAACAGAGGTTAAAGTGACTTACTCAGGGCCAGAGAGCTAGTAAGTTATCTAAAACCAGATTTGAACTTGTGTCTTCTTGGCATTATACACAATGACTTCAATAATGTAAATAAGAAAGATCTAACAAAAACAAAACTGGATGCTGGATAATGATGGCCAAGCTTGGCCTCCCCCAGAGAGGTGAGAAATTGGGTCTCTTCCCTTCTTCGTAGAGGTAGGGGAATGTGTAAAGAAAGTTGCATCTACTGTCAGACTCTGTTGATGAGTTGGTCATTTTTCCCCTTTTTTATTCTTTGTTACAAGGGGGTAGGGATAGAGGGAGGGATATCTTGAAATCAAGAGCTGCAATAAATATTTTGGAGTGTGTGGACCTTTACCTCTCTCTTGGACTGCCTTGGGGTCTGTTGTCCAACAGTCATATCACTGGCCACTAAATGATTCCATCACACAGTTCCAGTGGGTGGTTTTGTGTGGGCACTTCACCTCTGCCTCCCTCCCTCATCTTTGGC